CCTAGGCGCCACCTTAAACAAGGGAAAATAGAGTTTTGGCTCCACACAAGCACCGAGGCGTTACTAAGAACTTGACGCAGCACCGTGACGCCACTCCAATGGCGTTGAGGCACCTCTAATGTGATTATGGCACATTTTTTAGCCCATAAAAACTATAAATTCGACAAAAATACAGGAAGAAACATAAATACAAGAATATAGGCACTTTTGAAGGGTTTCACACATTGAGATACCAAAAACACAACATGGAGAACTAGAGAGAAAAATCAAAGGAAAAAAAAACAAGAAATCAAGGATTTGGAATCAAGATTTAGAACATCAAGATTTAGAACAAGAAGAGGAATTTCGTGCAAGTTTCATCCACTTCTCTACATCTCAATTCAAAACCCGGTAATGTACTCCATTATTGTTATTTATTTTTCTTCATATATTTGAGTAGCTAAACTCTTTATTAGGGTGAACAATGTAAACTATTCGAGGCTATTTATTTTTTTATTCAAGATTCTAGTTCTTTCATCATATATATGTTGATTTTATTTATATATTTAATACTTTGAATTACTTGATCAATAATTCAATGATTTTGTGAATCTTTTACAAATCGAGATGTGAGTTTTAGATTTAGACCATATACTAAAATTTGATAATTTAGTATAACATGCAAAGATACGTATGTTAATTATTGCGGTCGTTATATGAATCTTAGAACAAATAGTACGTTATATGTGATTTAATTAGTTAAATACGCTCAATGAGAATTCGAGAGAGATAAATTGAATACAATAGAAGATTTCGATCGAACACTACATTAGATTTGTGAATCTTAAATTAAGAATTAAAGGTAATCAATAGATGGAATTGTTATACCATAATATTTTATTTCATATTTGAATTTTAAATCGATCTTCGTGTGCATCTTGCTATTTTTCAGTTAGTAGATATAGTTAGAAAAATAATCACAATTCTTTGTTTTCATCATATGGGAGTTAGAAATATTAAATTAAGTATTAAAGTATAATTCTTGTTGGAATGATAATTCGGACTCAAAGTCCACTATATTATTTGTTACGATATCATATACTTACAATAGAACGGGGACTATTTACAACTAGTCTTAATTTATTTTATTTTTTACTATTATTTGATTAGTTTAGTTCTCTTATTTACAAATAAAACATGTGCGTTGTATGTTCCGTACCTAAGTCGATGATTTTGAACTGTTTAATTCGAAAATAGAACGTACATTCAGACGAAAATTCAAATAACACAAACAAAAATAGAAAGATCAGATGGTTAAAGACCAAATATTTATATTCCTATATAGGCAATTTGATAAGGAGTCGCTTAGAGTTGCCGTATAATAAAATTAGCAGAATGAGCGAGTGGAGATAGATGAATGAGATTTTCCAGTTTCAATGTTCTTGATGCATGTAGTAGTGCCCGAGCGCTCCAGTATTATATATCCAGATTTCGGGATGAATAACTTTCAAGTCAGGATGGATTAGATAAATCTGACTAGAAACACTCTCCAATTCTATGGGTTACCTCGTGAAAATCTGAACACACATATCTCCAGATTTCTTAGAAATTGTTAAAACTTCATATTTCAAGAGTTAATGAAGTTGCTATCAAGCTGTGTTTATTTCCTTACACATTAAGGAATGCAGCTTTGGAGTGGTTAGATGCTAAGCATCACAGAAGCATTACTATATGGGAGAAACTGACTAGAAACTTCTGCAACAAAATTTTCCCAACGGCAAAAGTAACAGAAATCCGACCAGAATTCAAACATTTCAACAAATAGATGGTGAGAATTATCACGAGTTATGGAACATATTCAAAAAGCTAATGAGAAAGTGTTCAAATCATGGAATCACCATAGGTANNAATCATGGAATCACCATAGGTAATCAAGTGTAATAATTCTACACCGGACTTTCACCACTGTCAAAATCTTAGGTGGATTACTATGCTGGTGGATTAATCATCGGTAAATCAGTTCAATAATGTTTAGATTTATTCGAGTTAATTGTCACTACACATTCAATGGTCTCGTCAAAAAGAGTGGTGTCACAGAAGACAACTGAAATTTATGAATTATACACACTTCATCTACCAATGCACAAATAACTGCTTTGACAAAACAGGTGGAGTTGTGAAATCACAAATACATGGAGTACATGCAGTGACAGTCCATCATGTGAAAATTGTGGAGCTAATCATCTCATGGAAAATTGATTGTCTATGGATTTTCTCTAGGAATAAGTGAACTTCATTCAAAATGGCTCTCGAAATTTCAACCCTTATCGACAAACATGTAATTCAAGATGGAGACAATACCCGAACTTCAAATGGTTTGATAATCAGCAGGGGAATAGTTCAAATAATTCCTGCAAGAAAAAACCAAGTTTGGGGAGATTTTCAATCAAAACATGCAAAAGACAGACGAGTCATGTAATATAAATTCAACATCTCAAAATGCCAAACCACCACAATCTACCAAAAATAAAAAATAACTTTTCTTACTTCTTCCACATCCAACCATCAAGTGTAATATAACACAATTTATTACCAGTTTCCCAAGAAAAGTTTAGATACTTACCATTCCTTGTGCTGTCTTCCTAGGGTAGAAAACCCACTATGTTGAAAGTACTAGAAGTGAATCTTGGAGTTTGGAATAATTTGTAATGTGTGGGTGTAATTTGAATTTTGTGTAGAACTTGGTATGTTTGAAGGAAATAGGGGAGAAATTTGATGTTGAGGTGTGGTTATATGAAGAGGATTTGAAGAATGAGGAGAGTATTTTTAGTTAGGGTTTGAGAGGAATTTGGGGATGAGGATAACCTAATTATTGACATAGAACTTTTGTATTAAACTTTGCATCACNNNACTTTTGTATTAAACTTTGCATCACTTACTCTAGCATACTTCAACAGTTAGGCTTTTTGTCACTGTTACAATCCTTAACGGCCCGATACGGTCTATTTAACTCAAATGGTCAGACTACTTTAACTTGGACTTTTAATTCTAAATTTAACTTTCACTTGAAATGAATGAATATGTAACGCTCTTCACGTAAATTTCAATATTTAATTATATTGGAATGCTATTTAATTTAATTTACTAAATATGTATCAATGTCTTTTTTAATCACATTTTCCATTTACTTTTTAAGTAATGTTATTCATCTTCAGTGTTTAAAATTTTGTATTATCATAAAAAAAGATACATTAGAAAATATAAAATTTGCGAGTTTTCTTTTATAAACTTTTTTTCATCACAGTGAATTATTGAAACAACAGACTAATACGTAATTTCACATTGGGGCGAACATTTTATAGGTTCGCACGTGAAATTTTCTTCTAAGTTCTTAATTAGTATCCATGGAGAAGTAACACGTTCTAATAATAGTCAGAAAATAGTGTTTTCATTGACAAAATAAAACACAACGTGAATGAAAAACAATTGGTTCAAGAAAACTTCAATTCACTATGATCCAGTGTTGCACGTAATGCTGAATTGAATGACTCAGTCGGCCTAATTTTCCTAACTTTTAGGAAATATAACAAATTTATCCTCCACCTTTTTTTTTTAGTATAATCAATCCCACACTTTTCAATTACGAAGCGAAACTCGTCGTTCCTTTCATTTTGACCATTAAATGACGAATTCGCCATTCTCTTTTGAATAAACAAATAAATACAAAAGAAAGCACTAAGAATAGAAAATTGCCAAAATAGAGTCTCAAATCTTTTTAAAAAGTACAAATAAATCCCACGTGAAATAATTAAATACATAAAAAAAATCTAGAAAAAATTCATCTCCCCAAAACCAAGCTAACCCACTCATGACTCACCCCATCAATTTGGGGGGTTGATTATGCTAAAAAAAAATGGGGGTAAATTTATCACATCTCGCAAAAGTTATGGATGAAAATGTAAAATTCCCAAAATTTTATTACTTGAGCATAAATAATTGACGCCAATAACGGAAAATATTGATAAATTAGTCAATCATTCCTCAAATTTCAAAGTTCAAACGTTACCAAACATAAAGGATCTCTGTGGACCCCGCTGCTTGTTGTGGTCAGGATAGTCAAATAAACTTAGCATATCTCATCTCGTGTTTCTTTCATGATTTCATAAAATTTCGATTTGTCTACAACATTCAACATTATTGTTGTCAATAGAGGAAAAAAGAAAAGAAAAGAAGAAGAACAATTAGTGAATCAAAGAAAATTTATTTTATTTTACTTTTTATAGTTAATCACTAAAGGCGCGTTTAATCGTGAGTATGAAATTTATATGAAAAGAAAATAAATTTTAAATAATTGATTGATTTAGTTTTCAAATTAAAAAATGGGTAATTCCATTTGTACAATGGATGATTGATGATGGAGGTTGACAACCTCTCACGTGTATGCGGGTTCAGCGTGATTAAAAAATCTTTAAAAAATTAAGTGGGCCCCTCCTATTGTGAGTGTTGGTAATCCAACATTGTTATCCTTAATTGTACATGTAGTATGATTGTTCATGTATCCATTTGGTGGCAGATAAGGGGGGGAGAGAGAGAGAGAGAGAGAGAGAGAGAGAGAGTGAATTGTTTGAAAAATAAAAAAAAAAATTTATTTTTGAAAAAAATATGATCACATGACTAAAAGTTGAAAAATATTTATCATGAAAAAATATCAATTAAACATGCTAAAAACATGAATTTGGGCCGAAAAAATAAATAAATAAAAGAACATTTTCAAGCAAAGCAAATTTCAGGTACTGCTATTAATAAAGTCGGTACACATGCTTTCAGCAATCTGGTCAACTATTTGACTATTTGTCTGTCCATTCTCCGCACCCGGCGCATTTTAGAACTAAGTTAAAGCGCATATCTCCCAACACAAGTTCCCACCCCAGAGTCTAGAAAATACCCTATTCTAGGCTTCCTCAATCCTCCTCCTCCTGCTCCTCCTCCGCCGCCACCACCATCAAACAAGGATCACACCTATGGATCCCACACAGAAAAAGCACCCCAAATCTACCTACTTAACAACCACCACCGCCACCAAGCCCCACCACCACAGCCACCCTCTGCCAGTTCCCACCAACACTCTCCCTTCCTCTATCCAAAGCTTATCCGATCAGTTTTCCAAGCTCTATGCAAATCACAAAAAACGTTCTTCCTTAAAAACCTCTGGTGGGCATTCAAAATCTCACTCACACCCTCAAGTTGACACAAATTCCCAAGCCAAATCTCTGGCTGTTACCGTCGTTTCAGACATTTCAAGTGCCACTTTGACCAAGTCAAACAGCCATCATCATAGAAATAATGTGGCGGTGGCTCAGATTAAGAAGAAAGAGCAGTGCACAAGAACCAAGGTCAAAGAGAAGAACAATACAAATGAAATCAAGAAAGAATGCAAGAAATCTTATGAGGAATATGATGTGAAAAAGGCAGCTAATTTGATGTCAAGTAGTGCTGAAAGCGAACAAATTAAGAAACTGCGACAAGGGTTTGAAATTACACCATCCATTAAAATGAATGGAGGGAGAAGAAGGTCATTTTGTAGTTCACAGGCTGAATTGGCTGATTTCTTAACTTGCAGTGGTGTCAAAGTTGTGTCTGTTGATATGCCACCATTTATGCAGATTCATGCTGTGGATTGTGCAAGAAAGACTCATGACAGCTTGGAAAAATTCACTTCCAAGACCCTTGCTTTGACACTCAAAAAGGTAATTCAATCATATCTATAATCAGTATAGGTTTTTTTTGTTTTGATCTATCTATATAAATTAATGGTTTTTTACTTCTCGATGAAAGAGTTAATCGGTTTTTTCTAATTCTGCTTTTGCAGGAGTTTGATGGGGTATATGGACCAGCTTGGCACTGTATAGTAGGGACCAGTTTTGGGTCTTTCGTAACACATTCAGTGGGTGGGTTCATGTACTTCTCTATGGACAACAAGCTACATGTCCTCTTGTTCAAGACAACTGTACACAAAGCACGTTAAAAATATTTACCAGGAGATGACATTCATTTCCTTTTGTTATATACAAAATTTATATATGATCTCCTCAATTGTTTGCACATTATTGGCATGTTTGGTTACTTGGTGGAGTCTGAGTAGTGGACGTGACTCGATAGTAGAACGACAAATTTTAACTTTTTTCTTCCTTAACACGCGGTCTACTGACTAATGTTATCCAAGACGTGTTGCCAAGAAAAGATGGGGTAATTTTCTTCCACCTCAGGTCCTCAGTTGACATTGTCATTATTTCATTTTTAAGTCGCCAGATGTAGCCCAAGAAATATTTTATGTAGTTGGGATTTTATGCCTATGATAAAGCATTCGGATTTCCTTTTTGCTTGTGTTGAGTAAATTTTTAAAAGTCCAAGTAACAATGCACAATGGCCAATGATTGTTTCCTTGTATAAATTGGAAATGGTGATGAAGACAGAAGAATCCAAACTTCATGGGAAAAGTATAAAGAAAATGTCTTCTATGGTTTTGTTGGCAATTCAGCCATTCTTTGTGTTGGGTGGCTCGTATTTTTGTATATTGGGGGCTAGTTGATGGAGAAGAGGGAATGGGCCCGTAGTCCTAGTAGTCCAAGTTGGTGCAGGTAATGGACTCAAATTTTCCCTCAGCTCCATCTAAATTTGCCAAATTTCCGTTAGTATTTGTTTATTAGTAGTGTGTTGAATCACTTCATTTGAAAGTTTAAAATACGGAATAATGGATTATGCAGTGTGCAAAGATTGGGAATTCATGGCACCTATAAACAACCCCAAGTCCTAAGGATGACCTCGGCAATTTTATCTTCAACCTGCTATTTGTCGATGATGTCTGATTCGGGCAAATGATATCACTTTTTCGAGTGTCGGTGAGCTTCTGAACGAAGGACTGAATTCCATCGTTTAGGGGTCAATGAGAAACCCTTTGACTTCATTAGAAGTCGTGCTTATTTGTTTATTCTTCATCATTCATTTTGTGAGCAGTTTTTTGTTTTAGTTAAACTATCTTAGGTAGGGTTTTGGTACGGGACGATTAGGTTTTCATTGTCGTGATTTTGATTTCGAACCAAATTGTCTTCTAAGATTATTTCTCATTATTTACTGAAGTTCTCGATTTGAACTAAGCCCGAGTTGAGTAACAAGAGGACCAGTAGCACAAGTGTTTATTATTATTTACTCGATGTGATTACATAGTTGAATAAGAAAAAAAATAAGTATTTGTTTGCACGGCTCTATAATATTGTCCAATTCAACTCGCTAAACGTACTTTGTGTAGGATAGTTGTTTCAATTTTTTGGATTTCGGATTTACAATTTATAACTTGATGCAAAATATCTTAAACACGGTATTTACAACAGTTACCATATTTGCATATTAGAACAGATTAAATTATATAACACGTAATTGCAGTAAACAATTAAAAGAAAATTGCAGAACAGTAATATGCAAAACGATCAACAATAAGTTATCAAAACAAATTGTTAAAGAAAAACTTTTAATCCGNCAGTAAACAATTAAAAGATAATTACAGAACAGTAATATGCAAAACGATCAACAATACTTTATTAAAACAAACTGTTAAAGAAAAAACTTTTAACCCGAGGCCTACAGTTTCCTTAAAATATATTTGCCCCCTCACCGTACGTGCTTGAGGTATGATACGAATGTCTGTCTCCCAAGATACAACGGGGAAACCAGTAAAATCCGAGCACAACATATTCTAATCCGGCGAAATGAACAAGTGTCTGAAAAATATTACCACAAACTTGAACAGAAATAGAAAATGTAGGAAAACAGAAACTGTATGCAGATGAAAATTCGTGCACTGAATTGTAGAAAAACGAGACACATATAATGACTGGCCGCCCATTCATTTAATAGCAATGATAACAAAAATGTGGACACTCCTAATAGGCCAATTTTACTCCTTTCGGTCCGTCATTCGTGTACACGGGTCGCGCCCGCACACAAGTTCAAAGTTCGAAGCCTATTTCGATCCAAGATTTGCACCCCTCACGGGCGCGCGCGTGGAGAGAGCCTCTATGCTACACATGATTACACCATTCTAAAGTGTAATCCTTTATAAAGTGGTTTTAGTTTTCATCCACTTCTTATGTGGGATAAACCTTATTTTTAATTTTCCCACCAACATAAACTCATTTCACATGGCATAATTTGAATTTCAATTTCACATTCACTCGAGCAATATTTTTGACAAGTAAGTATATGATTTCGATGTACTCACGGAGGAGAACACAAATCAACTTTTATCTTCCAAAATGGCTAGCGGGTCCTGCTCAAAATTAGCGCCAAA